TTATATACTCCTTTTTTTCATAATGCCAAATTATCCTATCTTCTCTATTTCCCAACCCAAGAGTGTTTTTCCCCCTAAACTCGAAAACCTGGTATTTTTGGTGTTATTATTTTGTTTTGGAAAAAGAGGTGATAAAACCTTTTTGGATGCGCGATGCCGATAAATCGGTCTTATAAAGATGCCGAGTAAATCGGTCTTATAAATTATTTGAGTTCGCCCACCCCCCATTTTTCTGGCAATGGGGAATACTGTTTTCCCTTTTTATTTTAAAAGTGACTCCTTTAACACGCATTTATTTAAGGCGAATTTATTTAAAAGAAAACTGGTCAGGCGGACCAAGTAAGATTCTAGGTAAAGGGAATCCCTAAAAAAAAGAAAATTCCTCAAATCACCAATAATTAATTGATTTAGTTTGATTAAGACTCCATGTTGCCCATTATTGATCATTTTCCGAATTGAGATTAAAATTTTTACTTTAGAAAATAGATTAAGAACCAAAATAACAGAAAATAAACTGAAACTGGGAGACAAGTTGCGTCCACAGCTGTTCTATGAAGAACAGTCGCATGGCGCAGCTCTGTCTTTTAATTCCTGGAACTTGTAACAGTTGCGGTCATCGCACTGTCTATGAAGAACAGTCGCGTGACGGAACTCTATCATTCCTGCTGAACTTAGAACAGTTGACAGTCAGCGCGGGTGTTCTATAAGAATCAGTACGTGGACGGAACTCCTACCTACGTGACGGAATTGTTTGCGACTTATTCCAAATCCTCAGGTTTATTAAATTATTTATTCAAGATATTGTTAAAATACAAATATGAGATAAAAAATACAAAACTGAGTATATAAACAGCTGCGTCACGCAGGTGGTTCCCAGTCCAAATCAAGGGATTTTGGACATGAACAGCCGAGTCAACGTGGTAGTAGCTGGCGTGACGCGACTGCTCGGTCCCTGCAATCTAAACCTTTCAACACTACTTCTTTTTAACGTTTCTTTTTGTCCAAAGTGGTTAGAACAAACCGAAATGGTTCAAACAATAAGCCAGAACTTACGTTTTATCAATTGGCACATCAAATTTTTATCAATGGCAAATCAATTAAACAATATGAAAATGAGATTTTTAAGAGATAAAATGCTAGAAATGAAAAAGAAAAGTTAGAATCGCTACCTAGCCTTCAGATTTGAGGATTGCACACACTGAGATTGATTTAGAGACGTTGTTTCACGATTCCAGAAGTGTGGTTATCGAACTTTTCCCAGAACCAAATGTTCTCTCTTTTTCTCTTTTTCTTTTCTTATATTTTTATATTTCTTGATTTCAAAACTGAATGGTTAATGGTTTGATCTTCCTCAAGTTTACTCACTTGAGTTCTTGGGGAAGAAAACCTAGCCATTTTAGTCGAAAACTTAATTTTTTTAGCTTTAGGATTTTTAGAGAAAAAATAAGATAAAGTGCCAAAAAAGTCTCATTTTTGTTGTAAAATGTTGTATTTATATGGCTAGGTAGGGCAACAGAGCAGCTCGCGTCACGCGGGTAGAAGCTGCCGTGACGAACCCGTAAGAATGGCGTGACTCGGCTTACTTTCTTGTACAGTTGCCGCGTATCCATATCAAACCAGTGCAGGCCGTTGGCAGTCCGGCGGGCGCAAGGTGTCCGAGTCTGTTAGAGCTGCGTGACGCAGCTAAGAGTGCCGTCAAACGTTTGCAGGTAAAGCTGCGGCCCTAACACGGGTCAGGCTCCTTTGGGCAGTTTGGTTCAATTTTTGGTTCAAACACTTCTGGTTTATCGTGCTACCTTATCCCTTGTCCTCATATCATTTTCGGGTCAGGTGGAGGCATAAAATTTCGCGTCAACAAAGAGGAATATTTAAAATGCCTCTACTATCATTAGCACTAAACTTCTTGACTATTTTATCAAAGTCCCGCCTCCTTTTATATTCACTCATAATGTCTCTCACCCTTAAGGAAGAATCAATGGAAAACGACCCATCCTCAACATAAAAAAAGCTCTCTTTTGGTACCTAAGGATCTGTACTTGAATTTTTTCTCCATCCCCTAATCTTCATCTCACCCCATGTTTCATAATATCTCTGGAAGACCAAACACTCCTCCAAATAAAACTAGGATTATTCCCTAAGAAAGCCATCATAAAATCCCCATTTGGGTAATATTTATCTTTGAAAGTATGTGAAAGTAGAGTGTTCGGCTCGATCATAAACCTCTTGTTCTCCTAGCATCGCTATATTGAAACAGTTAAGATAACTAAATCCTAACCCACCATCCCTCTTACTTTAACATACTCTTTCCCATGAGTACCAGTGAACACTCTTTCCCCCTTCTTCCTTACTATCCCACTAAAAAGAATTCATAATTTTTTGGATTTTAACACAGAAAAATAAAGGCAAAAGGAACACACTCATACAATAAGAAGGAATCGCCTGAGCCATAGATTTTAATAAGATTCCCTTACTTGCCCTGTAGAACAACTTATTATTCCACGAATGAATTCTACCCCATAACCTATCATTAAGGTAATTAAAATTTTATTTTTTGTTTGATCTTACTAGAGAAGGAAGGCCCAAATATTTCCCACTACCCAAAGAATTATGAACTTTCAATAAATCAAACATCAAACTCCTAATCTGTGGACATAAATTTTTACTAAAAGGAACACTAGATTTTTGGAAATTAACTGCTTATCCAGACGCATTCTCATATTTCTGTATAATATTCTCCACATTATGACCCTCGCTAATGGAGTGGTTGAAAGAAAACTTACCTGAGGGTAATCTGGCAATTTGATGCTCCTGCCCCCTGTGCGGTGAATAGACAAAAATCGCTAAAGTGTGCGAGCCGCACATCGACGTCAAATTGCCGAAGTGGACCGTTATGGGCTTTAAAGTAGACTACACGGGCCTGTTGGGCTTGAAAAGGGATGATAGGTCTGTCTCGGAGGAGTGGGCTTGGGCCCATCGTTTGGAGAAATGGGCTTGAGCCCAAATATTTACTATAAATAATTTCTTTCATAACCGATTCAGTTTCACTTATCACAAATCCTAAGCAAGTGAAAATCCTCTGAACTTTTCAACCAAAAAGATGTCTCAGATTTCAGTCAATAAAACCCAAACCTAACATCATATCCTTTAAAAAGTTCCAATGTACTCTATCATATGCTTGGTGAAATCCACCTTAAGCACAAACACCTTATTCTCACTATTCACTTTCCTCTTAAGATTATGCAAAACCTCAAAAGCTAACAACACATTATCTTGGATCATTCTACCCGCAATAAAAGCCGATTGGCTATTAGAATAACATAGGGTAAAATTCTTTTGAGTATATTGGCTAACACTTTTGAGAGTATTTTATAAAATCATACTACATAGAGCAATAGGTCTATACTCTATAAGGGACTAGGGGTTTTGATTTTTCAGAATAAGAACAACTAAGTGTCAGAAAGAGACTCAGGAAAAATACATTGTGCTACCCACTACTTACACCCTCGAATAATGTTTAGGCCCACAACATGCCAAAACTTCTAGTAAAAAGCTGGATTTAAACCATCCAGCCTAAGGTATTTATCTAGATGCATCTTGAAAACAGCCCCCCCGCCCCGTGGGAAATTCCTCATCTTTAAAATCTTGCATCAAAAAATTATTATCTTCTATTGTCACCTTTAAAATCTAACATAAACGTGAAAACTATCGCTAAAATAATGTCATGTATAGTATCTTTATCACTATAACCATTCCCCATTCTCACTATGTAAACCTACAATCTGGTTAGACTTCCACCTACCATTCACATACACATGAAAGAATTTTGAGTTTACATCACATGTTTGCAGCTAATAAATTTTTGCTTGCTGCCTCCTCTTAATATCTTCCTGTTCTGTAAGTATATTCCACTCTTTTTTCAGTTTCTTATATTCTTCAATTCTCATACCTCTAACATCATGCTACAACAATCGATTCAAAATCATCGTCTGATTCCACTGTTCCTTGTTTCAAAGCTGCCCCCATATCGCTAAAGCTTCAGCGCAACTATAGGTCTTATCAATAACCGAATCGGACCTACAGCTCCATCCCTTCTTGACTACCTCCAATATGCCCTCCCCCATCAACCATGAATTATCAAACCTGAAATGCCTTCTCCCACCACAATTTGCTTACTGCGATACCTAAAAAAAATGAGGTCTATGGTCTGAAACAGGGGTTGTTAAGGTATTATAGTGAGAAATAGGGAAATATTCCAACCAACGTCATTAATGAAGAACCGATCAAGCTTTTCACAAATCATGGCTTGAGCACTGCGATTCTGCATCCATGTGTATATCGACCCATTAAACGACAACTCGTTTAAATTATAATAATGCACAGCCTGACGAAAACCTTCTAATAAATATCTCAAATGAGGCTCCCCTCTCGCCTTCCATAATTATTAGTTTTTTGCTTCTGTTACTTTAAACTCAAGTGCTCATGTGTCTTTTATTTATTTATTTTTCTAAAAGTTTTAGATCGAGTCTTTAGGAATCTGCAGTTTTTTTTCGTGCTATCAAGCACTACTTCAGTTACTGCTATTGTGGCATCGTGTTTGCGTCAATTTCTATTTTTAGTTCAGTTCATCACTATAAATGTAAAGGATTCTTATGAATGAAAAATTACCTTTACATCAATATTTCTTTTCTTTCACTTTCAGTATTCTCTTTGTTTATAAAGAAAATTTGTCTTTTTTCTGTGTTTTCCATTATTAAACCTTCAACTGGTATTAGAGCCCTATTCTTAAGGGACTTGTGTGATGGAATCTAAAGGGAATTTTTCTCCAAATGCTCCAATCATCTTTGACGGAGAAAAATATGAAATTTGGGCAATCAGAATGGAAGCCCACTTGGATGCTCTTGATCTTTGGGAAGCTGTGGAAGAGGATTATGAAGTTGTTCCGCTGCCTATTTCGAGAATGGAAGCCCACTTGGATGCTCTATGAAATTTGGGCAATCAGAATGGAAGCCCACTTGGATGCTCTTGATCTTTGGGAAGCTGTGGAAGAGGATTATGAAGTTGTTCCGCTGCCTACAAATCCCACCATGGCCCAGATCAAAAACCATAAGGAGAGGAAAACCAGAAAATCAAAGGCGAAAAATTGTTTGTTTTCCGCTGTTTCAAACACTATTTTCACCAGAATTATGTCTCTCAAAACAGCTAAGCAAGTTTAGGATTATTTGAAGGAGGAGTATGCCGGTGATGATAGGATTCGTGGTATGAAAGCTCTCAATTACATAAGAGAGTTTGAATTGCAAAGAATGAAGGAGTCAGAGACAGCCAAAGAATACTTTGAAAGGCTGCTCGATATTGTCAATAAAGTAAGGTTACTTGGCACTACTTTTGACAATTCGAGAATTGTTCAAAAAATGTTAGTTACTGCTCCTGAAAAATATGAAGCATCCATTACAACTTTGGAGAATACAAGGGATTTGTCCACAAGCACCTTAGCAGAGTTATTAAACTTGTTTCAGGCTCAAGAACAGAGGAGATCTATGAGGCAAAATGGTTTTGTTGAGGGAGCTCTCCCAGTCAGACATCATGAAGAAAAGGACTTTCAGAGGAAGCAAGCTGGTTCAAACGATGAGCAAATCATAGCTGATCGCAATCGTGGCAAAGGTGGAGGCTCAAAAGAATATCCTCCTTGCAAACATTGTGGCAAAATAGGTCATGTACCATTCAAATGTTGGAGAAGGCCAGATGCCAAATGTAAGAAATGCAATCAGCTTGGACATGAAGCTATAATTTGCAAAAGCAAGAATCAGGAAGCTAATGCCCAAGTTGTTGATCAGGATGAAGAAGATCAAATTTGAAGAAGATCAAATTTTTGTGGCAAGATGTTTTTCCACCAAGTGCACATCTGAAAGTTGGTCAATCGACAGTGGCTGTACAAACCACATGAGTTATGACATAACTCTATTTAAGGAACTGAATCCTACTGAGATCACTAAAGTCAGAATTGGAAATGGTGTCTATATTCCAGCAAAAGGGAAAGGAACCATTGCAATTACAACAGCGTCATGTATAAAAATAATTTCTGATGTTCTTTTTGTTCTTTTTGTGCCTGACATTGACCGAAATTTGTTGAGTGTGGGCCAACTTGTTGAAAAAGGATTCAAAGTAAAATTTGAAGAATGATATTGTGCCATTTATGATGCAAAAGGGGAGCAGGTTCTACGAGTTAAAATAAGGGGTAAAAGTTTCTTTTTCGATCCAACAGCAAAGGAGCATGCTGTCTTTTCTGCAGAAACCAGCATCACCGAGATTTGGCATAAGAGACTTGGCCATTGTCATATTCAACGCATGTTGGAGATGAAAAAGAAAGATATGATAAGAGACTTGCCGATGCTTACTAAACAATTGCCAAACTACGATGCTTGTCAATTTGGTAAACAAACCAGATTGCCCTTTCCAAAATCAACCTGGAGAACTTCACAGAAGTTACAATTAATTCATACAGATGTTGCTGGACCACAAAGAACTCCATCTCTCCAAGGTAGCCTCTACTTTATTCTGTTTATTGATGATTTTACAAGAATGTGTTGGATTTTCTATGTGTTGGATTTTCTTCTTGAAATTAACAAAGTCAGAAGTGGCTGAAGTTTTCTGGAGTTCAAAAAATTATTTCTGGAAGTTCAAAAATATGGTGGAGAACTAAAGTGGCTGTAAAATTCAAGCTGTAAGGTCTAATAATGGGACGGAATACACCTCTTCTCAATTCAATTCCTTGTGTGAAGAAGCTGGCATTAAACATCAATTCACAGCACCTTACACGCCGCAACAAAATGGAGTCAGTGAGAGGAGGAACAAATATGTGATGGAGATGGTGAGATGTTTATTGCATGAGAAGAATTTGCCTAAAGTTTTTTGGGCAGAGGCTGCCAACACAGCCGTATTTCTTCAAAATCGACTTCCAAGCAAGGCATTGAAGGATCAAACACCATTTGAGGCCTGGTATGGTTTTAAGCCTTCATTGAAATTTCTTAAAGTGTTTCGAAAGTTTTTGTTTTGTTCATGTTCCATAGAATAAGCGTGACAAACTAGACAAAAAAGCCATTCCTGGTATTTTTGTCGGTTACAGCTTAGTCTCCAAAGCTTACAAAGTCTATCATCCATAAACTGGAAAGATGACTATTACCAGAGATGTTCACTTTAATGAAAAGGAGCAATGGGATTGGAATGACTCACTAGGACTTCTTCCCGAAGAGCAGTTGAAAGACAAATGGCTAGAGGAAAACATTGATGATTCACCAGTTAGAGGAACCAGGTCACTCTCTGAAATTTATCAAAGTTGTAATTTGGCAGTCTATGAGCCGGCTGGACATGAAGAAGCTCTTAGAGATCCAAAATGGAAAAAAGCAATGGAGGAGGAGATGTTGATGATTCAAAAGAATAAAACATGGGAGTTCATGGGAGTTAGTCGACAAACCTGCTGACAGAAAAATCATAGGAGTGAAATGGGTGTTCAGAACAAAATTAAATGCAGATAACTCCATCAATAAACACAAGGCCAGACTTGTTGTTAAGGGTTATGCCCAGATTTTTGGTGTTGATTACTCAGACACCTTGGCTCCTGTGGCTCGATTGGACATAATCAAAATGCTTCTAGCCATTGCCGCTCAAAAAGGTTGGAAAGTATTTCAATTAAATGTCAAATCTGCATTTTTAAATGGTGTTCTATAGGAAGAAATATATGTGGAGCAGCCTACTGGTTTTGTTATGCAAGGTGAAGAAAATAAAGTCTACTTGCTCAAAAAGGCTCTTTATGGTTTGAAACAGGCACCCAGGGCCTAGTACAGCAAGATAGATGATTATCTACAAAGCTTAGGCTTCAAAAAAAGCTTATCAGAGGCAACTCTTTACATTAAACATAAGGACAATAATGTTCTTATAGTTTCTCTGAAAGATGATTCTTGGGTGACAGGAAAATAATGCCTTAGCTTGATGTGAAAAATTTCAAACAAGATGAATTAGGTTTTTCGAAATGACGGGATCTTGAGTCTCATGAAACTATTATTCTGTGAATGGAAATTACACAAAGCCAGAATTGAAGTGATTCATTTGTCAAGAAGAAAAACATGCAAATGAAATTCTTGAAGAAATTCCACAGATGCAGAATTGCAAAGCTGTTGCTTAACCCATGAATCCAAAAGGAGAAGACTGAGCAAAGAGAGATGGAACCGAGATAAGTTGTATTGAAGGCTACTTACAGAAAGCTGGGTTGGATGCCTACTGTACCTTACTGCACCAGGACCACATTTTATTTGCTGTAAATCTCTTATCCTGCTTTATGCATTGTGCTAGTGAGCTACATTTAATTGCAGCAAAGAGAGTGTTAAGGTATATTAAAGGTACAATCAGTTATGGTGTCAAGTTTGGAAAAAGTTATGATTTCAAACTATGTGGATTCTCGGATAGTGATTGGGCTGGCTCTATTGATGACATAATAAGTACATCAGGCTATTGTTTCAGTTTTGGTTCAGGTTTCTTCTCTTGGTGCTCAAAGAAGCAAGAGATTGTTGCACAATCTACTGCAGAAGCTGAGTTTATTACAGCAACAGCAGTAGTTAATCAAGTTTTGTGGATAAAGAAGCTCTTATTTGATCTGAATATGAGCAGAAATAGTGGTGTTGAGATTTTTGTTTGACAATCAAGCAACAATTGCAATCTTCTAACAATCCAGTTTTCTCTAACAATCCAGTTTTTCATGGAAAAACAAAGCATTTCAACATCAAACTGTTCTTCTTGAGAGAGATACAAGAAAATGGAGGAGCAACTCTGGTTTACTGCAAAAATGAAGATCAAATAGCAGACCTGTTCACAAAACCAATTCCAGTTAACAAGTTTGAGCTTCTACGGCAGAAAATTGGAGTTTGCAGTAACAAAAGCAAGGAGGAGTATTAGTTTTTTGCTTTTGTTACTTCAAATCACATGCTTGTCATGTGTCTTTTATTTATTTATTTTCCTAAAAGTGTTAGATCGAGTCTTTAGGAATCTGCAGTTTTTTTTTTTCGTGCTATCAAGCACTACTTCAGTTACTGCTATTGTGGCGTTGTGTTTGCGTCAATTTCTATTTTCAGTTCAATTCATCACTATAAATGTAAAGGATTCTTATGAATGAAAAATTACCTTTACATCAATATTTCTTTTCTTTCACTTTCAGTATTCTCTTTGTTTATAAAGAAAATTTGTCTTATTTTTGTGTTTTCCATTATTAAACCTTCAGTAATAAATCGTTAATGTCCCCAAAACATAACCATGATTTTGAATCCCTACAAGCTATGGCCTTTAACAAATTCCATGATTGACATCATCTAGTTTGTTCCGAAAAACCATAGAAACTGGTGACCCGCACCCAACGTTGCTCGAGGAGAATATAATAATCTATAAAATTAAGTGAGAAACTCAAACTTATACATTCAGATTGTCCTTCAAGAGGAGAGCCAAACCACCCCCTCTTCCTAATCTATCCACCACAAAAGTATTAGAAAACCCAAGCTGCTGTCGAACTTGAATTACTTTTCTCTCCTATGCTAGTGTCTCGATAAGCAATACTAAGGCCAGCTTACATCTCAAGATTAACTCCTTTAGAACACATAGTGTATGGGGATTGACAAGTCCCTAACAGTTTCAGCATAAGGTATTCATTGCGACCAACTATCTTAGAGCCCAGGATCAGCCGATATAAAAGGAGAAGAGGCAACAATTGAATCCTTGTTCTTAAAAACAACAGTACCCAAATTGTTTTGTTTTCGCGGTCTCTTTTTGCAATCATCCACTTTGACAATAGCCTCCATTTCAAGGTTTCCCATCTTATCTCCATTGATGTCCGAATTCGACTTATCGACCACCGTAGAACCTATTTCTTTTTCATCTTTGTTGTCACACTTCAAATTGCCTATAAATGCATTTGTGAATTCATGGACCTTAAGACCTTGTTGTTGCGACCTATGTCCCTCTGTGCCCTCCTGTTCATGTCTCATATATTCACCACTAGATTCCTCCCGAAGCCATATACTAGTTCTTTGTGCCTAACATCGCAAAGGGACCCTCAATTTATCATCCCAGTCCAGCCTTATATCCTCCTTTCTCATATGCAACCGCACCTCGCAAAAGCTATCTGAGTGTCCTTATTTGCCACAAATAAAACAAAAAATTGATATTCTCTTATAACGAAAGAGAACAAAAAAAGCCTCTCCACTATGGACTATAATCTTCTTGGTTCTCCTTCAAGGTTGTCTAATATCCAATCGCACCCTAACTTGAATGAACGTAGGCGCTTGTCATAATAAGACCTTTGCATCGTATTCTATAAATTTCCCAATAAAGTTACCCAATGATTTTGTTACCGAATCCATCATCAAACTTTGGGAAAGTCATGAGCTTGCACCCAAAAATTCACATACAGCAAGGGTACTAGTAAGGGATCCTCGTCATACTTTAAATGATGCCCCACTCCGAGGTGACCAATTCATAACTCTTTCCAAGTCCACTTCATTAAAGAACCTAAAAAAGAATTGGTTAGTCTAAATTCATTATATTAACACCCCCCCCCCCCAATGGATGCCACAAATCAGAAAATGTGGTACACATAGAGACAAAAATTATACGATTCAGAGTAAAAAATATACCCACTAGACAAAACTAATATTTAGGTTTAACCTTTAAAGGTCCTGTTGCAATTCTGAACCTGTCTTCCTCTGCCTCATTGATTGACAGTCCCTTGAAACTCCTCTCCATCTCACCAACTCTGTAAAAGACAGTAAGTCACAAAGTTATGAGAGCCAAAATTGTACTGTGGGAAACACGTAAA